TTGCCAAGCGACGAAAACCCATACCCGATGGCAAACACCGGGGGGGGGCGGCTTGTTTTACAACGTCGTTGCCAAGCGACGAAAACCGAACCCCGATGGCAAAACACCGGGGGGGAGCGGCTTGTTTTACAACGTCGTTGCCAAGCGACGAAAACCGAACCCCGATGGCAAAACACCGGGGGGGAGCGGCTTGTTTTACAACGTCGTTGCCAAGCGACGAAAACCGAACCCCGATGGCAAAACACCGGGGGGGAGCGGCTTGTTTTACAACGTCGTTGCCAAGCGACGAAAACCCAACCCCGATGGCAACCACCGGGGGGGGCGGAGGGGGAGATATAATCACCTTTCGTAGTTCGTTCATCGAAAGGGACACTGTGTTCTTCTAGTCAACACGCGTCTCTCGCAACACGGAAGGAAAATAAAGGACTGCTGTGGCGAACGATGTTCCGTTTGAACAATCTGAGAACTTGAACGAAGGGTTGCCAGGCCGAGAGAGAGGAATATCGTGTTGCGTACATAAAAAATGCGTCCATCCTTCGGATGTGGCTGACACATTCTGGACAAACTGGACTAATGGTCGAACGTGAGAGCACCCCAGTTTCCAGTGGGCGTTATTAAGAAAAAGAGAAATCTGGAACCGGAAAGTGTACGTAGACGAGTTTACGCGGACCCCGCCCCCTTCTTGCGGAAAGCCTAAGGCACTCGTAGTGAATGCAGCCAAGAGAGATAAAACCGTAGTAAATTGTGCGACATTCGTGGCGAGCTTCAAGCCACGCACGGTCGCAATGTCACGTTAGTCACGAGCAAAGGATCACTGACGGCTTCATTCAATCACACCTGGGCTAACACATTCGCCGCCTGCTCTCCCCCCATCACGGAGATGCGTGCGTTAGGCCACATGAAGAGGAAGCGCGGCGAGTAGGCCCTGCCGCACATGCCGTAGTTCCCCGCCCCGTAGCTCCCGCCGATGACGCAGGTTATCTTTGGGACCTTGGCGCAGGAAACGGCTGCCACGAGCTTGGCCCCGTCCTTCGCGATGCCTTGGTGCTCGTATCGCTTGCCGACCTGTTGGTCGGTTGTGGTGTGGGCGCAAGAGTTCTCGTTTCAGAAACAGCGGCGGTGCCTCCTCGCAGCACACTCTTTCGGGTTCCTTCCGAAGCTGAGACAGCGTACGCCGTTTTTTTACTCCCAAGCATGAACGCAAGGGTGCATTCGATGGCCCTGAAAGACCGCTGCCGTTGTCCTAACTACATGATGGTTGTCACGAAGACACAGCCGTCCCCACACTACTTTCCTTGGCGTATTGAGTACCCACGAGCAAAAACCACACCACGTCGTCTTTCATACGCCTCCGACAACAAAAACCCACTCTCACCATGAACCCCGTGATGTTCTGCAGGAAGATGATCGGGATGCCCCTCTGGCAGCACAGCTCCACGAAATGAGCTGCCTTCAAAGCCGACTCCGAGAAAAGCACACCGTTGTTGGCGACGATCCCTACGCTTTGTCCGTACAGGTGCCCGAATCCGGTTACCACCGTGGTGCCGTAGCGCTCCTTGAACTCGTGGAAACGGCTCCCATCGACCAGGCGGGCAATAACCTTAACATTGACGTTCGCGAGACGGGAGGTGCATCAAGTTTCTAGCCTTGGGGAAGCGACATCAGGCCATCGTCTGCTAACACACGACTTGATGACGATTGCCACGGGATCCCGTCGCAGACCGGGAGATACCCTTCCTTCTCCTTTGGCTTGGGTAATGTGTCAGGCAATAATCGTAAGAGAGTGGGTGAGTTGTAGGGTACTTGGAAAGGGGGTCATAACGTACCTCATGTCGGACCAACGATCAGCAAGCAGCAAAGACAGACGGAAGAAGACACGGCATCCAGCAGTTGTGACTCTCACCCTCGCCGTAAAGAATTGCAACACATCCCCCTTCTGGGAATAATCTCGAACGGGTATTGTGTTCTCGTTCTGTGATATTTGTGCATCTTTCGGAAGCAAGGTTAAGAATAAGGTGGGTCACCGCTTTCACTCCTCCTCAGGCGCACCCGTGGACATCTCCGATTGTTCTTGAGCCCGGCTCAAGTAACGTGACCTACACCTTGTGTCCCTCTTCTTCACCTTTCGCACGTCGAAGGGCTTCTTGCTATCCGTCGGGATGATGCTCCCCATCTCCCGGGGGTCGAACAGCGGCTCGTCCCATTGCTGTTCCACCGTGGTGGCTCCTTCCTGACTCTTGCCGCGCTCGCGTTCGCCACCGCCGCCGCTAGCGGCGGCAGCGGCGGCAGCGGCGGCGTTCGTAGCAGCTATGCGTTGCGAGGGGTTCGTGGCAGATGGGAGGTTAAAGTTTGCGACGATGCTGCGAGCGATGGAGATCGCGTCCTCGTCGTCCTCGGCAAAGTGGTCGGCCACGCCCGACAATCTGCCCCAAAAGAAACCAAGCCGTTGGAAGTCAAGTGATGGATTTGATTCGAGTGTGGAGGGGGGCGGAAGGCCGGCAGCGGAAATGATCAAAGTGTTGAATGGGGTTGTACGTTGATTGGCGGGATGAAAGACCGCTGCGAGGGTGAGGAAAATCGACGGTGTGTGCACTGCAATGGGAGGCACTCCAGTCAGCAGGCCGCGCGAATAGCAACCATCGTTACAAGGATTGCATCTGATGTATACCCCGTTTAGATGCAGTTCGGTTCTCAGAGCAAATTAGATACATATCCTGCGGGCACAGGAAGAAGCAAAAGTGCCGCGACGAGCTCTGATAGCACCGACCGTGAACAATATTGTCGCAACTCGCTCGTCATCGATACATGTTGTAGCTCAGTACCGTATGCGAAAGCGAAACACCTTTCCAATATAGATCATCTTCTCCGCCTGTCGACCGGCCAGCCAGATTTTCGCCAGGAACTGCACAACCGGCGCGTTGGCATCCATGGCCACCATCAAGCCTCACCGTAACACCCCCTAGCGTTCTTTCTCCGAACCCAACTGCAGTACGTCCACACACACATACCCCCCGCGGGCCTCCCACCCGGCAGCCAATCGGCTATCGCTAATCCTGGCACTCGCCTGGTGTGCGCATCCGCCCCTCCCAGCTCTTCGGCCGATATGACCTCGCCGGTCGCTGCCCTGACAAGTGGGGGGCCGGCCAAGAACACGGTCCCGGTCCCGTTGACGATGACAGTCTCGTCGGACATGGCGGGGACGTACGCCCCCCCGGCGGTGCAGATGCCCATCACGACGGCCACCTGGGGAATCCCTGCCACAGCCGTTTGCGTCGGAATTCGGCGGTGTACGGTAGTACGTTAGCTTGTGGATCGGTCCTCCCTCTCGCTGGTCTTAGCTACTCCTTTGAAGACTTTTCGATTCGTTGCTGCCTAGTTCTTTTTCCGGCGGCCAACAGGGCCGGGGGGTTGGGTGCAAGAGAAACGCGGCGATGGGAAAGAGAGTGCGACCAACGGGGATCGACAGCCAAGCCCAGCGACGGTGCACACCCACAGAAGAACTGCTGCAACAATACTACCGGCCCGAAAGAAAGCAGACCCGCAACAACTTCCCGTGAAGCTTACGAGAGTTCCAGGGGTAGACCGCAATTCTGTAACAGTACTGCCTGCATAGGCCTTTACCTGCCGCGGACATGTTGGCTTGGTTGAAGAAAATTCTTCCGAAATGCTCCCTGTCGGGAAAGACTTCGGCCTGCTTGGGTAGGAACGCCCCTCCCGAGTCAACCAAGTAGATGCAAGGCAGACGGTTCTCCTGGGCGACTTCCTGGATACCGGTCGGGTTACGGGTTGGTATCAAAGCCGGAGAAGAACAGAGGGGTGCGCGGCACCGGCTCGACTGGTGGTGAATAGGTATGTCTAGTTCGGTTTATCTCTTTTGTGTTGCCTCCAGTACCGCGGTGTAACGTAACCTATTCAGACACAAGAACAATTGGTGTGGTATGGTCACCTCGGCACTTGTCCCTTCTGCACTCACAGATAGCGCTGACCGGCTGGCCAAGAAGGAGTTTTCGTCAGCCTTACTGCGGGACAAAAAACGAGAATTCTATCAAAGTGACAACAATAACAACAACAACAAAAGTAACAACAGTAACGGTTATAGCCAGGTGTGTGCGGGAGAGAAGGCGGACAGATCCGAGTCCCGGGGGCGCACAGCACTTCGCGCTTGTTTCTCGGGTCACCTACCTGAGCACGCAGGTGTTTCTTCACGGTGATGGGATAGTACGTGCCGCCCTTGATGGTTGCGTCGTTGGCCAGGATCATGCACTCGACGCCTTCGACCCTGCCGATGCCGGCAACAGCTCCCCCGCTGATGATCCCCTCATCATATCTTTTCACCGCCGAGCACGAGGAGGTAGAGGGAAGTCGTCAGTCGCGTGCAAACAGGTGAGGTGGAGGGAATCAACAGACAGCAGTAGTCCTACATCAATCCAGGCAAGACGACTTGTCTTCCGGGTGGGAAGCGAAGCGCGTCTCTCGCGAATCTACGGTAGGCACCGTCTCTCAGAAGTGTTACCGGAGCGCATTGTTACGGGTGAGGTTGTCCTACCACTTGGTTGACCACTTTCCACAAGCATGCTTGACAGTAGCGGTTTGCACGTTTGCGTGCGCGGAAGTAATACGACCACGAAAGTCCATATCTTGTCCCGCATCTCGTGCGGTCAGGTACTCAAAAACGCCACACACGCCGCAAACTAAAATTACACACATCGCCACACGGGTAGACTAGATACAGATCTCGAAAGGTTCACGTGTTTCATCAACAAGTGCCTCGTACCCGGCCAGAGGTGCCAGCTCCAGAAATGGCGAGCCAGGATCAACAATCGCCTCAATCCTCTCCCTGGCAAGAGGCGCAGGGGGCGACGGGGACGCGACGGCGACAAAGTGTCAATATCGGGGGGCAATATGAACGAGAATCCTGAAGAAGCTGCTGTGTAATTTTGAGAGTAGGGAACCGTGCTACGGAAGGGAGGGGGCCTCACTTCAGCTGCTCTGTCGAGTATCTTCGGGACAGTAAAGTGTAGGACCTGTCTTTCGTTCACAACGCCATCTCTCCTCCCGCCTGAGACCAGTTTTGACTCGGTGTTGAAGAAAATGAGCTCTGCGCAATTCTTGGCCCCTTGGTCGACTAGTTTTAGTCGTCGTGCTCCATCTATGGTAGCATAGCTCTAGGTTCACCTGGCAAGAAGCTTTCCCTTTGCGGAATGCCTCTTTCTCGCGAGGTCGCCTCCGCCCGCCTCTACTGTCGCGAGAGCAGAACGGAGTTCGTCGACCATTTCCTGGCGATAGAGAGTGGCAAGCATATTACAAGTAGAACAAGGGAAGAAAACAAGAGAGAAAGCTGAAGATGCAAGAAGAGAGGGGCTACGCATTCGTCTTCCCAATACCATCTCGATGCCGTTTCCCATAAAGTTCGATTTAGAAAACGCGTTGTTGCCTTGAGTTCCTTGATACAGCAGTACCTTCCTTCAATCCTTCAATAGAGACAGTGGCATCAAGTGTTTGTTGGGAGACGAGAGTGGCAAACTTTGGCACAAACACTCACGGCACACGATTTCCATTGGCATTGTTGCCTAGCTGAACTGAATCCCGCGGCAGGTCCAGCCCTTTGTTCAGATATTTCACTGCGGTGCCCCGAAGTCTCTGTACATCCGCTACCGTATCTAACAGTGCGACTCCAGGCACGCTGATTTGCCAAGTGACGAGGTGGTAAAAGGAGCAAGTTACCTGCATGGCCAACCTGCTTTCGAGGGCCGTTTTCGCGGGAACGTCCAGAGCGCCGTTCAGCTTAGGGAATCGCATTGACGATGAAGCATATCCCCTTGCTGCTGCTCTTGCTCCTCTTGCCAATCGCGACATCGTTTGGATCTCCGGGCTATCTGTTTGGATGTGCGGCGGATCCTCAAGCTACCGAAGGTTGAAGGTTGCAGAAGATTCAACACGTCATGGAGGATTGAGGACCGCTGGCTCGGGAGGGTAGCCCTTAACTGATAATATGTACACTGTCCAAAGGTACAGCGAGAGTGGACCTTTGGACGCTTGAGGAAAGCCTTCTCTTGAGCCGGTCACAGACTGCAGAGGAGAGAGTGGTGATTTGTGATTTGTGAAAGCGTGTTTCGGGAAGCGGGGGAATTAAGCAGGGGGTTCTGCAGATAGGACTTTCTGGTTTGCGGATGTAGGCTGGATTCATGTTCTAGCTGCCACTCTGAACCATCACGAACAGCACACTGCACCAGCGCGGAGAGCAAGCGAGGGCGCAATGAAAGAGGAGGACGGAGGTAAGTTGTGATGGCAAGGTACGGTGTGATCCTGTGCGCGCTACGATGGGTAGACTATTGTATATCGCCCGATGCTCCGATGCTGTCTGCACTCCCCGGCGGCCTAATCTATTTGCTGTTGTTGCTGTAATCTACCGTGGACTTTGCCTGGCCAGCACAGCAGTATTGTACTTCATTGCTTCTCTGCCATAGATCGCCGCCAGCCGCGCTTTTCCCCCTCTTGGTCTTAGCCCATGGCCTGTTACGGAAGTGTTATGGTGCTATTGAAGTCTTCTTCCTCGAAAGCATTGAATTTTGAAGTTTGAATTTGAAGCGTACAGATGCCAAGATCGCCAGCAGTCACTTCAACTACCCGTAGAGGCGGAGATATTGGCACCCCCTCTTTAGACCGATTTTCAGAGCTGGATTGTCCCACACGCAAGATTGTATCAACACCAAAATGATGGGTTTGGATCGTCTCGTCGAGGGCTTTCCGTAGAGTTTTCGGGCGCACTCCGCACCCGCTTGGTCGTGGATCAATCCAGCTTGAAAGTCGGTCTAGGGGAGGTGCCATCTTTCCGCCTGTTGTACAAGTCGCATCGACTGCACCACAATGTAGTAGTCTAATTGCCACCAACGACGGTGCACAGCAGACACCCGCCCCGGATACGGTGCATACGCCGCCTATGATGGCTGTTATGCAGTCCAAAACGTCCAACCTGGTGTTGTACGTGGAAACGGTACAGCAGTGTAGACTACAGGATCATGCCCATGAGGCATGCTGGGGCACCCTCAGCATACATAGCCCTCGTATCACACGGGCGATACCGTGACCATGGCCTGACCACACACACACCACGGTGACACCATTATGCGCCACAGGTATTGTTATTTTACTACGGGGTTGCGTCTATGGTAGATACAGAGTGTGCCCCGACTTGTCGTGACCAACAGTGAAACATCGAAACACACGGACGCCGCTTTTTGCAGACATGTTTTGTCTTGTGCTCTCTCTTGTCTCGTCTCTTGTCTCCCTCTCACACACACTTATCTATGTGATGTTAGCATTTAACACACGCATAAGCTCGTTGCTGCCATACATTCTCTCCCCCACTTCTGCCCGCTTGTTTCGTGAATCCCTCCCGCTCGTTTCCCTTACCGAGAAATGCTGTACGGATTTTTACTCGGCCTGACTATTCCGCAGCGAAGAGAATGCCTTCAATATTTTTTGCCACCGTGCGTTATTGCCCCATGCATACCTGACGTGATGATGTCGCCTGGCGTTCGTCGCTTTACGCAGGCCCGCGGCTACCCCCTCCCCGCATACTTTTCGAGAAGAAGGATGTTCCGTGCCTCGCCGCGCTGCGAATCCTTCTCGGCGACAAGGGGGCAGGGCAGAGCAGCAACAACGACAGATGGCTCTCGCCCACGAGAGAGCTGCGCCTGGTGTCCTTCGACGTGTGCAACGCTTGCCGGAGCGCCGTGCCTTGCCGTGTTTGGGTCGGTCAGAACACACCGCGGTCTCTGTGGGCAAGGAAACCACAAGCGGAGCATCCGAAGGGTGGGAACGCGTGCCAATTGTCCCCGCCTGTCTTCACCACCACCAGCGACAGCAGGAGACCATCTTCTCCCAACAAGCGGCGGACGTTGTTAGGGATCCGCGCGTCAACGGTCGTGTGGGATCGACCTCTTCGCGACGTCGTCGACGCGCGGTCCTTCCTGCAGGGCGTGGCGTGCTGGAGGTTTGGGTTCTATTTCAACGAGCCGCTTGTCCCAAGGAACAACACGGGCTGCTTTCGTTGGCCTGAGACCTTGATGACTCTGGACCTAGGCCCGAGGTTCCAACATGACCTTTCTGGCGTGTCTTTGCCCGCCGGGTTGCTTGAGTTGAGATTGGGCGCGGCGTTCAACCGCTGCGTCCGGGGGGTAGACTGGCCTCCCCTCTTGCGAAAATTGACCTTCGGCGCCGGCTTCAACAAACCAATCGTCGGCGTTGTGTTTCCGGCGTCCTTGGAGCAGCTGTCATTCGGAGCCAGCTTTGACCAGCCGTTGGTCCAGTACATGGCAACTGATACCTGTCCTAGCTGTGTTTCCTGGCCTCCGCGCCTACATGCTCTATCGTTCGGGGCAGGCTTCGGCCACGATATTGGGGGAGGAAACAGCACCCTGCCGCTGGAGGCTACGTCTACGGCGGCTGAGGCGAAACATGGCTGTGGTAACCGGCTGCCCGCCTCCCTGAAGCGACTGACGCTGTCGGACGGATTCCGCCAGCCACTCGACACCGTCCGTTGGCCTCCAGTTCTTGAGGAGCTCAGGCTGGGTTGTGTTTATGTCAGCGATAGGGGAGGCGGGCGCTTACCGGAGGCCTGCTTGCCGCGGGCACTTGTAAGGTTAAGCCTGGATTTGAACTTTCACCAATCTGTTAGTGACGTCATGCCCTTGTTGCCGGACTCGCTCAAAGATCTCGAGTTCGGCGATGTTTTCAACCAGCCCATCTCCAGAATCAAGTGGCCGTCCTCCCTGCAACGGCTGGCGTTCGGGTCCAGGTTCAACAACCCCATCGCCGGAGTCTCGTGGCCAGCTGCCCTACAACAACTCTCGTTCGGGGATTGCTTCGACCAGACAATCAGCGGAGCCGCGTTTCCGGCCCTCTTGGAACAGCTATCATTTGGGGAGAGATTCAACCAACCCATTTCCGGGGTACGATGGCCGGTTTCCCTGCAGGAGCTACGCATGGGGCGGTGTTTCAACCAAGAAATCGCAGAGGCCGTGTGGCCGCCCTCCCTGCGAAGGCTGTCGCTGGGCAAAAACTTTCGTCAGCCCATCCGATGCCTCAACCTACCCCCGGGGCTGTCGGAGCTCGAATTGGCCCAGGGATGCAAACAGTCGCTCGACGGAGTGAGGTGGCCCACTCGACTGAGGACGATCACCGTGTGTGTGGCATGGGGGGGTAGGGTGCCCGGTGGAGCTCAATTGAAGTTCCCCCAAGGTTGCCGTTTGAGACGGAAATGAGTTTTGAGCGAGTACACGCAGAGTTCAAATCCAGAGCGTTGTCGGACGTTTGAGACGGTCCAGAGCGACTACACGCAGAGAGTACGTAACTTTCGTTTGAGCGGATGACTGTAGTTGTTGGGGCGTCAATGGGGCGTCAAGAATAACATCATGATGTTTGGGAGTAGAGGCAAGAGAGTGCACACACAGGTGTCTAAGTTCCCTTTGAGCAATGACTGTTGACGGGGCGAAGAAAAAAACATGATTTTGCGAAATAGAGACGAGAGTATATACAGAAAGTGCCTACGTTTCGTTTGACCCATGACTGCTGTTGGGGCGCGTGCGAGAATATTGGCGTTCTCGCCTGACCGAACACTGCGCCACGCGTAGTGTAGTAACGGTTTTAGAGGTCGAACCCCCCGTCGTGACCAGTATCATTGTTGAATCATTGATTCATCATAAATGCCGTGATATCACTTGTGGACACTGACGTCCGTGAAACCCGAACACTGTGAGCACTTCCCAGGTAAACTTTCGTTTTCTGCCACCCTATGCTATGCATACAAATGCATATATACCTCCGAGGTCACCCCGTTGCTGTTCTTCTGTTTTCGTCAATTTAGTTATTTTGGCCGCCTCGAACGGGGCTCATTGCGACCATATTCTTTTCTCGTTATATTAGCACAAGGGACAAATTTCCATCGTATTACATTCCAGACCCCTCCTGTGGACACACGAGCTGTGGTAACAGCCCTGCCGGTGCGGAGCACTAACCCTAACCCATACACCGACCGGAAAACTCAAAGAAACGCTACAAAATTGAGGCTTGCCAAACACAGAGACCACAAGAAAGGCAGAAAATGTCTCCACAGCCTCAAGAAAACACAAAAAACAGGATCGAAAAGAGCAGCGCAATCAGACGAAAAAAAAAAAATGGTGCCGCGGTACCCCGATGTCCCTTGAGCACGGCAGAATTGCCAAGACGAACTATGCACACCGGACGGTACTCGTAGGCTTGCCCCAGCATCCACGACAAAACAAGTCCTCGCGGTGCTCCAGGAGCACGTCTGGAATCCACTACAGCAGTACGTTCACACGCAGACATTCAGGACGAGAAAAAACGTACTAGCATACGCAAGTCGAACAATACCACAACACAAAAAAGACAATATCGCAGCGAGTGGTAAACGGCCACCATGGTGACATTGATTCCACTCGCGCTTGTTCCTTGTTTGTCAACAAAGCTGCTGTATGTGGTACACAGCAGCGGAGAATACCTCTGCAAAAGTCACCTCAGTTCAAGCACCGAAACACTGCTCTCTTTAGAATCCAAATAAATGCTAAATAAACGGGATTTGGGAGGACGAAGTGCCTGCCACAGAAGAGAACAAAAAAACAACACCGAAAGCGCCCGCTCTCTTTCTCCCTCTTTTCTGTTGAACTGTGTTGACAGACGGCGGTGCAACAGCGGCGGGACCCTTGGACCCCTCACAAAATCCCGAAAAAAAAAAACAAAATGTAACCGAAACCTCCCTGCAACTGTAACTCCACACAAACAAGACGTAGCAACGAGTGTGAGCAAATCAGCGATGACCTGTGCTCCTGCCGCCGCCTACATAGTGACCATGTTCCCCGCACGGCTCAGCGTCGACCTTCCCGCTTACGCTTCGTTGGCACACGCATGGGGGGGTGGAAATCTAACATAATGTGACCGGGGATTCAATTGCTGTTTACCTCGCAAACCCCATGTCGACATTTGCCCATCCAACCCCAACCCCCAACCCCTGTTTCGATGGCTCCGCTTCCGATTGGGTGCCTGCCGATGAGGTGTTCGAATCAGTGCGGTTGCTAGATGCGCTGTAACTACCGTCGTACGCGGTAGCGCCCGAGTCCGCGGCCGTGCTGTCGGAGCGTGCTCGTTCAGTGCCCTTCGGGGTCGAAGTCCCTTGCAATCCGCCGCATTTGTGCTGTCCGCAGACGTACTTGTTGCACACGCTCTGGACCGCACGAAGACGTCCGACATCGGACACGGGAAACGCGGGGAGAACAGCACCATGTCGCGAGTAAAGCGTCCGCGGGTTGAACATGCAGCGAAAAACCAGCGGCACCACAGCGCAACATACAAGCAGGTGCCGCGTCCAGTTGTAAACAATACGCAAAAATCTGCACGAACAAATCCAAAGCACACTTAAGAAGGAGCGAATCAAGCTCCAGTAGCACCTCCGCGCTGCTGCGGAGGTTTGGCTTTAGCATGCTGTTCCAGGAAAGCATGGCACCGCAAGCCCTTCTTCATCTATCAACAAGATACATCCCGCGCATGTGTGCGGAACCCCAAAACACACCATACCTCTACGGAGAGTATGACAACCAAAACCGGACCGCCTTCGCGAGAAATTTAGTTTAAGGAAGTAGAACAGGGAGGGGGTACGCGGACCCTATCCCCAACCCAAGCCCAATGCACGCTTTATCCAACATACATACCCAACAGAAAAAGACGTTGCAACGGCTACTGCCACCACAACCTCACCTGTACTCCCTCCCAGAATCGCTTGTAGTCCGCCAGCCGTTCCCTGAACCGCTGGAGGAGGCGGGGCTTGTTGGCAAAGGTGACGAACTTCTCCACGAGGTCGCCCTTCCTCAGCAGAACGTCGAAGATAACCTCGCTGTTGGCCCAGAACAGGGCCAGCTGCTCCAGGACGCTGTCTATCTCTTGGAGCGTCTCAAGCGCCTGCTGAACCTCGGAGTAGCACTGTCCGCGACGACAACCGAGACAGGGGGGGGGGGGGGGGGGNGGGGGGGGGGGGGGGGGGGGGGGGGGGGGGGGGGGTGACGCGTGCGCATGACAAGACGGCGACTTGAAGCACGTCTTCGAGACCTTGCTTTGCAGGAAAAGTACGGCCTCCTCTAGCGTTCTAGAAAATCGGGAGCGACTTGAGGCAGCACGTCTGCTTCTTCGAGGTTTTCCTTGTAGCAAAGTTACGGCCTCCCCTAGAACAGCGGCGGCAGCGGCTACTGCAGCATCGGCGACACGACCAAGCCGTATGAATCAGCAGTCAAACAATCGATGGCCAAAATGTAGAAGCGGAGGAGGTATTTTCGCTGGGAAAGAGATGTACGAGATTCGGAGGCAAAAACGAGTCGCAACCACAACATGCAGAAAACACAAACGCAAATCAAAGCGCAAACGCAGAAGGGGGGCATGTGCAGCAAACCAAACCAGAACCACTGTACAACCACAACAGCCTCACTCAGGAAGAAGTCATGTGCCAAGTCCCGCTGTCAGACGTACCGTATCCTCGTTCATACGAGCCAGCTGCATCCCGCCGCCCCATGCCCCATGCTCTCCACCCTCTTGCTCCCCCGCTCCCGCCCCAGCCCCTACCCACTGTCGCGGCGGTAGGGGTGGCATCTCAGCCTCTTGACCGCTCGGAGCATCCGCTCCATCGATGGACGTGTTTGCGGTGATGCCGGCCACTCCGTCCACGTCCGCGCCTTGTGCCCCGCTTCCTCCCCCGGAGGCCTCGTTACCGCCACTGCCGCCGCCGCCGCCGCCGCCGCCGCTACTACTCTCTTCCGTGCCACCGGTGCTTCTGCCGGGGCCTTCGTGCGGCCAATTTGGGCTCCGCCCCGCCACGAGCAAAAAGAGATTGATCAGCTTTTCGTCGCTCAGAATCTCGTTCGGGCTTTTACCCGCTGCCGCCGCCGCCGCCGCCGCGTTTTTACCCGTTGCCGCCGCCGCCGCCATCGAAGCGCCATCGCCTGCCGATGCTGTATTCACGCCGCCGCCGGCGGTAGCTGTAGCCGTGTAACCACCAGCAGCAGTGGCCGATGCGGGGGAGTTATCGCCTGCGGTAGCTTCAGCCGTGGAGCCATCGTTGGCAGTGGCGCCATTTGCGGTAGCCGTAGCCGTGTAACCACCAGCAGCAGTGGCCGATGCGGGGGAGTTATCGCCTGCGGTAGCTTCAGCCGTGGAGCCATCGTTGGCAGTGGCGCCATTTGCGGTAGCCGTAGCCGTGTAACCACCAGCAGCAGTGTCGGTTGCGGGGGAGTTATCGCCTGCGGTAGCTTCAGCCGTGGAGCCATCATTGGCAGTGGCAGATACTGTAGCGCCATTTGCGGTAGCTGTAGCCGTGTAACCACCAGCAGCAGTGGCCGATGCGGCGGAGTTATCGCCTGCGGTAGCTTCAGCCGTGGAGCCATCGTTGGCAGTGGCAGATACCGTAGCGCCCTTTGCGGCGGTGGCGGTTGCTGTGGTGTTAGCACCGGGAGCAGCGCTGCCTTGTGAGGAGCTGGTCCTGCTGAGGTGGTTCCGGAGCTCTTGTATCTGTCGGACCACTTCTAAGGTCTCGGGGTCCAAGTCGATCCGCTCGCCTCCCTGCTGCAAGTGGTGCAAGAAGGAAGTCGTCAAGATCAACAACACGCGGCAGGCATCACGAATAAGGCCCAACAACACCAACATTAGGACCAGGTTAAGACTCCATGTCTGCTGTCTGTACACGAGACTCTTGTCCTGCATGAGCGGTCGATGCGCCAAGTCAACTTGACGTTCAGAATCCAGATACCCCGACAGAATATCATTGAATACCGTTCAGCAATAATGCAAGCACTGTGTCCCAGAGACCCACAACAAGTCCCCTCTCCAGCAACACGCTCCACGACACACATGTGCCTACAGCGCCACCGAAGTCATCCACACCACCGCCGATACTGGTATCGCAGGCAAACCCGAACCCTCACATCATGTTGATGTTGGGCAGCACCCGTGTTCGCGCTTCCGTCGACGCCATGTCTCCCTCCGTTCGCCGTGTAGGCCGTGCCACCTTGCTGCTGCTGCTGTCGCTGCAACTCTTCCCGAAGTCGCAGGCCTTCCATTCCCATCTCGGCATGTGTCTTCATCGCGTCGCCGACTTCCACGGCGTTAGCCTTGTTGTGGGCCTGGACGACGTTCACCTCGGTGTACATCTCTCGTACCCAGCTCTGATTTACGAGAAAAAGAGGGGGGGGCACCGTGGTTGCCATTGTTAGTCGTGGGGCCTTCGGCATTGCCCGCCTCAAATAGAGGCAGACCGAGTAAGAGTAAGAAGCATATCCTTGAAACCACGAATTTGCAGGAAATGATCACTTCTGGTGTTTGGGTGCCTTAAAAGGACGGGGAGTACGGGGCGGTAAGGCGTCTATAGAAGTGCTTTGATTTGTAGCTAAAGAGCGGGGGGG